GAACTTTTAAGTTGCATAAACCATAGCTTAGAAGCCAGCATTGGAATATTACTATTTGTCTTGTTAAAACTGCTCCATTGGATAAAGGGACAAAATGTCTTTCTCTTCATTTAAAAAAAAAGTTGTGCTATTTAAAAAGTAGTCATATAGAGACTCAACAATAAATGAAGAATTTTCAGGTATTGCTCAAATGTTATTACCAGGTATTATGACTGATTTAAATATTTTTTAAAAGTCAGTGTATTTTTCAAAGGCAGTAATAGTAACTACTGACTATCTGCCCTAAAACAGTTCAGCATTAGAGATTTGTTTTGTTAAATGATTTGGTGTGTACTAGAAAATTTATTTAAGTGGACCATGAAATATCCATTAATATATAGATGTGAATGTCAAGGACTGTTTCTGAAGGATTGCCATGATGCATACATCAACTAGTTCTTCCATGTAAAATAATTTTAGTGTAATATAAACTTAAGTAGCAATGTAAAAATGATTTGAATTGCTGTCCTTTATATTAAAATGGTTTAAAATGTAAGAATTCCATTTATTGTGTTTAGAGTACTTTTTATGTTTTATTATAAGCATGACAGAAATGGGAGGGAAACAGTTACAGTTTTGTCCTCAGAAATAACGATTTATAGAATTGATGTGTATTTAAGACATTACAAAACTAAGCTGAAAGTGTTATTTCTGCTTCAATTTTTATTTTCGCATAAAAGATTTCTTGTCATACCTTGGTAAAAATTAGATGAACTGGTTTCATTTTCAAAGTCTTTAAAAATAAATAATTTATCTTTCTGTGATTTATAAGTGTGTAAGTTTAGGAATACATGTGTTCTTAAAACTAATATTTAATTTTTATATTTTTCTTTTTATTGAATTTATTGGGGTGACATTGGTTAATAAAATTATACAGGTTTCAGGTGCACTGTTCTACAGCACATAATCTGTACAGTATTGTGTGTTCACTATCCCAAGTCAAGTGTCCATCACCATTTATTCCACTTCTACCCCCTGCCCTCTAATCACCCCAGTCCCCACACCCCACAGCAGCTCTCTATCTATGAGTCTGTCTCTATCCTAAAACTATTTTGTATATTTTAATTTCTGGATTACACTGTAGCTAAATATTGTTATCGAGTCTCAAGATAATTTAAATGTATAAAATAAGTATCTCAGTTATGTTATCAATAAAAAAGACTGAAAATATTTTCTTAAAAAATTGATGTTGGGATAATTGGACAGGTACATGCAAAGAAAAAAAACTAGACCACAACTTAAACCGTACACATGAATAAACTCAAAATGGATAAAAGACTTAAATGTAAGCTGCAAAACCATAAAAATCCTAGATAGGCAGTAAAATCTCAGACATCTTGTGTAGCAAAAAAAAAATATTTTTTCTGATATATTTACTAGGGCAAGGGAAACAAAGAAAAAATAAACAAATGGGACTATATCAAACGGAAAAGCTTTTGCACAGCAAAAGACACCATCAACAAAATGAAAAGGGAACCCACTGAATGGGACAATATATTTGCCAATGACACATCTAATAAGGGGTTAATTTTCATATATAACTAAATACCAGGAAGACAAACAAACCAATTAAAAAATAGGCAGTCCTGTCCAGGTGGCTCAGTTGTTTGGATCACTGTCCAGTGCGCCAAAAGGTAGTGGGTTCAATTTCTGGTCAGAGTACACCCTTAGTTTGTGGTTTCAATCCCCGGTGGGATGGCTACAGGAGGCAAAAAATCTGGAGGTAACATGATCTATGTTTCTTTCTTACATTGATGTTTCTATCTTCATCCCTTCCTCTCTTAAAGAAATCAGTAAATATATCCTTGTTTGAGGAGTAAAGTACAATAGGCAAAGGACCTGAATAGACATTTCTCCGAAGAGGACATGCAAATGGCCAGTAGGCATATGAAAAAAATTATCAACATCACTAATCATCAGAAAAGTGCAAATTAAAACCACAGTGAGGTATCATGTCACACCCGTCAGAATGGCTGTCAACAATAAATCAACAAACAAGTGCTGGCGAGAATATGGAGAAAGGGGAGCCCGCGTGCACTGGTAATGGGAATGCAGCCTGGTGCAGCCACTGTGGGAAGCGTTATGGAATTTCTTAAAAAAACTGAAAATGGAATTGCAGCTTGACCCAGTGATCCCACTACTGGGAATATATCTTAAGAATCCTGAAACACCAATCAGAAAGCATACATGCTCCCCAATGTTCCTAGCAATGTTATTTACAATAGTCAAGGCCTCAAAACCACCCAGGTACCCATCAGTAGATGAGTGGATAAAAATCCCGTGGTATATTTACACAATGGAATTCTATGAACCTTTGTTTTTTTCACCCGTAATCTACTTTATTACCCAACTATTACCACTGTTAACATTTTAATGCATTTTTATTTATTTTATTTTTTAATTATGTCATTTTTATTGTTATTCTATTGCAGTTGTCCCAATTTTTCCCCCTTTGCCCTCCTCCACCCATCCCACACACTCACTCCCACAGCCAATTCCCACTCTGTTGTCCATGTCCATGGGCCATTCATACATGTTCTTTGTGTAGTCCCTTCTCCTCCTCTCCACCATGGTCCTCCTTCCCCTTCCCCTCTGGTCACTTTCAGTCTGCTCCATGTTGCCATGCCTGTGGTTCTATTTTGTTTGTTGGTTATTTTGTCCATTAGTTTATTTTGTTCATTACATTCCTCTTATAAGTGAGATCATATGGTCTTTGTCTTTCACCAATTGGCTTGTTTCACTTAGCATAATAATCTCCAGTTCCATCCATGCTGTTGCAAAAGGTAGGAGCTCCTTTTTCCTTCCTGCTGCATAGTATTCTATTGTGTAAATGTAGCACAGCTTCTTTGTCATTCTGTTTGATTTCATTTTTATTTATTTATTTTTCATCGTCAACACTATTACATGGGTTATGCATATATGTTCCCAGCATTGTTAGATTTCCTGACTCTAGAAATTTGTTTAGTAGTCATCAGCGATATTGGCTATTGGTATTAGTGAGAAAGGACCTGCTGTGTTTTTAAAGGTTCATATATTTGCATAAGTGTAACAGTTGTAGCCAGCCAATAGTAAAACATTCTTAAACTGGGAAGACAGGTATCATCACACTTGAGGATCACCCAGATCTTGCACTATAGGCTTTTTGTGGTGGTTACAACCCTGGAGGAAAGGATCACAGCCATTATCTTGACTATGCATTAGTGAATTGAAGTTTAATCCCCTCTTCAAAGCTTATTCCAATGTTCCTTCCTTTTAAATCCACACCAGATGAGGTTTTTCAGGTATTTGATCTCCATCTTTTGGCTCCTTTTGTGACTATAGCTAAACTGTTATTAAAAAGGAACCCCAAATTGATCTGAAAGCTGGCAGCCATAATACTAAATATTGCCATGACGGGTAGCCCAACATCTTTGAAAATTGGTCAGGTTGAAAATAAGAGGTTTGTATTTGTACATCACTGTACTTGAATGATATCCCCTTCAGAAAGTTAGGGGAGTTATTTTTTTTCTGAAAGTCCCAGAAAGAAACCACTCTCATCTTTCTGGTGCCATGTTCAACATTTGGTTTTCCTTAATCAATTTCTTTAACATTAGATAGAATGATGTTTGTATGGGCAAGAAAGAAATCAGGTGTACAAATGCAAAGGGTGAATGTATGACTATTTTTAATTTCTTTTTTTAAAGATTTTATTTGATTATTTATTTTTAGAGAGAGGAGAAGGGAGGGAGAAAGAGAGGGAAATATCCAAGTGTGGTTGCCTCTCGTGCGCCCCCTGCTGGGGATCTGGCCCACAACCCAGGCATGTGTCCTGACTGGGAATTGAACTGATGACCCTTTGATTCATTGGCCAGTACTTAATCCTCTGAGCCACACCAGCCAGGGCAGACTATCTTTAATTTCTTTATGAGACTGCTTTGTCATTTAAAATATTCAGAGAAAGGAAAATTAATTTTTTTATGTCAGTATACGTGGTTGTTTCCATACCCAGTATACTAGAATGATTTTTATTTGTATAGTGTTTTTTGTTGTTACTGTTTTCCTAATTTTGAAGAGACACTTTCCTTAGGAAGAGTTTTTTTTCTGTCTGCCAATTTTTATCATTAACAATTTCAGTGTTACAGCTTTTAACAAGGACCTGAAATTGTCTAAATCTAATTACAATTTTTTTACCTTCCTTTTATTTTTGAGATTAACAGTGTTGTTTTCCCTTAATATTGAACATGCTGCCTATTGATGAGAAGGATAAAGTGTTTTTTAAATGTCTTCCCTAATTATGATGGTGTTAATTTAATTACAAGGTTCATAGTTTTTGCATGAGTTCTTTTTAGTCAAATGTATATGATTTTGAATTTTGATTTGTATACTTTAGGTATTAAAAATAATTATTTTGGTTAGTATTGCCTAAAGCAATTTTCACAGTCACTAAACCTTCTTGTTTATTTTTAAGCTTTAAAAAGACGTTTTGTTTTAATATATAAAAAGAACCCCTTATCCCAGAAAGAAAAAAAAATAAATGCACCCTTTTGTTCCAGAGCACAGCTTCTGGCTGTAAGACATATGCCAGATGCCTTGCTTGACAAAGAACAGTGAGTGTCTCTGTTGATAATTGACCACTTATGGCTACCACCATCTCTGTCTTTACTAGCCATAAATATTTATTTCAGTGAAAGAGCCTTTATTTCCCCCCCTGTACTGACACTACCCAGATAAGGGCTTTCATTTTTTGCCTTTAAAGTTGTTACTTTTTCTGAGCAAATTCAATGTGTTTGCATTATGCATAATTTTCAGTGAGAACCTGTCTCCCTTTAGCACACAAATTATTGCCCATTACAGGGGATTAATTGACTTAAAAATAACCCTGCAGCTTTGAAGCACTGAAATTGTTTTTTTTTTATAGCGTACAAATTCTACACATACCCAATTTTTATTCCAATTTTCAGAGTATCTTCTTTTATTTTTAGATGAATCTACGTTCTGTATTTACTGTAGAGCAACAAAGGATTTTGCAGCGTTATTATGAAAATGGAATGACAAATCAAAGTAAAAATTGCTTTCAGCTCATATTACAGTGTGCACAGGAGACTAAGCTGGACTTCAGTGTAGTCAGGGTAAGTATTGAGGTCTTACACCCTCGAATTTATAGCTGTTTATTACAAGTGATAATTGCTTAATATGAGAAAAATTATCAGGGTATGAAGTCACTAACTTTATAAAGAGCTCCATTTCTCTGATATAAAAATATTAATTTTAAATAAATAGACCTAATTAATTAGCATGTATTTGTCTCTATGAATACTTTGAAAAAGCTAAAAATTTTTGCATTGTAAACATATCCTTAAAAATCCCAGTCCTTTGAATTAATGAGTACCTTTAAAATTAGTTGTTGATTTTATGCTTTCTTTATACCCAGAATTAATATATACACAACCCTACAAAATGATATCAATAAAACACGCATTTACCAAGGGACTATTGTGTATCTAGCATATTTTCTTGTTGTATTTGAATTTTTTATCTGTTATTATGACTTTAGTATTTTTGTTGTCTTTTTTTTAGGAAAAACTAGGCTTTCTTGTGAATACTTCCTCCTCCTTTTAAGTAAAATGCATGCATTTTAATGAGTTAGTGAATAATGGACAAGAAATCACAAGGGAGGAAATTTTCCTTTATGACAATCATAGTTATTCATCTGTAAAAATCAGAGCTGCCAAACGTTTGTGAAGGCAATGAGAAGGTGATAGAGAGGAGGCGAGAGATAAGTTTAACAGAACTAGTCCCAGATTTTACTGAGTGCACAGGCCCTTTCGTGTTTGCCTGGACATGCTATCAATCCTCCTGGCATGAAACTTTAGATATTTAAATATTAGCAACTTTCCCATCCTCGTCATTCATTAGGTTAATTTGGTAAAAAGAAAGAATGTCTCTTTGAGTTTTTTTTTTTTAATTTTGGAGGAATTTTAAAAGATCCTAAAGATAAAAAAAAATCTCTTGATAAGCAGAAGTCTTTGGGAAATCTATTCCTTTTTTTGTTTAAATCCTTACTGGAGGATATGTTTATTGTTTTGAGAGAGAGAGAGTACTTGGGAAGAGAGAGAAAATGAGATAGAGAGATTGGTTGCCTCCTTTACATGTCCCACCGAGGATCGAACCCACAACCTAGGTATGTGCCTTGACCGGGAATCAAACTCATAGCTTCTTGGTGCACCTAGGACAATGCTCAACTGAGCCACCGAGCCAGGGTGGAAATCTATTTCTTAAAAACTAAATAATATATTCATCTTCACATAAGGAATTGTGCCACCAATTCTAGGGGAATGGGAATATCCAGGATATCTGTTGCTTATTGGCTGAGATGAATCATCATACTCAGGTTTGTGTAAGAACTAGAAATAGTTCCTATGGATAGCTTTAAATTCCCTATTTGAAATGCCTTTAGTTAACCTCAGAGAAAAATGTATAATTGCCTTAGAAAAAGTAATACAAAATGTGTAATATTTCAAGTTGATGAGATTTCATTTTATAAGTACAAACTCCCCTGCACCTATGATAACTTCCGTCTTTCTTCTTTTTTTCTTTCATTTTATTTTACCATTACTTTAAAGTGAAATGCCTTCTCAGACAGCTGCTTTGTAGACTGTGACTGTTCATATTTCCAAGTTGTTATTGCAATCTTCCCTAATAACTTACTTGATTTTACTTGAACATGGAGAGTGTTGAAATACACAGGTTTATATCTATGCTCCAACTGGTGTGAAATCTAAAACAAACAATGAGAATAAAAGAAATAACTTCATAGAATGTAAGCTTACAAATAAAATGTTATATAAATTATAGGGGATTGTGTAAAACAGATTTGTTCTCTGTAATAGGAGAGTGTAAATTATACAGAAATGCAGTCTTTCTAATCTAAATTGCAACGTAGTTTTGGTGGCTTTTCTAGTCAGACGAGAAGGGAGTTGTTTAGAGACTCATCATTCCACAGCCTCCCCTGCCCCCAGTATTTGGCTTGGTCTGTATGTTCTATTTGAAAGAGACCTTTTATTGTTTTTAATATAGTGTCTGCTGTGTCTTTTCTCAAAAAAACCCCTTAAATCCCATTTTACTAAACTTGACCCTAATGTAAATAGAACTTAAAAGGTTAAAGGGGAAGAGCTGAGGGAGGGAAGGAGGGAGGGGGCAAGGGAAAGTGGTGGGGGGTAGGCAGAAACAAATGTATTTCAAAAAATAAATTAAAAAAATTAAAAAAATAAAAGGTTAAAATATGTATGCAAAGATAAATAGAGTGTGGTAATTGAACAGGAAAACAAAGAGGAAGGTATAAAAAAAGGAAAAGAAGTTTGGAGAAAATGATTTTCTAAGAGAGAACTGAAATGAATTTTATAGACACCAAGGATTGATGACCCAAATACCTCCTCATTTTTTTCTATTTTTTCCAAACCCCAAATTATCTTATCAACTTTGACCAATTTTTTCTCTCTCATCAATGAGGCATTGTAAAGTGAAATCATTTATACGTTATAAACACTGGTAAATGTTGGATTCTGTAACTGAATGACTTTTTTAGGAAAATTTTATTCCTTTATTCGCTAACTTCAGACAATTGATTTTCTTTATATTCAATATTTTAAATGGAAGATATTTCTCAGTGCAAACTTGACTACTTTCCTTCATAGAGAATATTGAAAATGATTAAACTCTTACTTTTTGACTCAGAGTTTTATTATGGAAATCAATTATTGTATTGTGCTCATATAATAATGCTCACAACATGATAGGTGTATGAGGTGATTTCCTCCTTACTGAAGCACACCCGACTGATTATTTCTCACATCAGCTCTTGTGTTTTCTTCCCTTTCTTCTCCTCTTCAGTGAGCAATATATATGAAGTAAACATTCTTAGATTTGGTGCTAACAAGGTGTCTCCAAAAGTGACCTCAACCACCAAGGCCCTTCCTATTTGTTATTTGTAATTTGTTATAGATTAGAATACCAAGTTTGGCAAAATTATGTATAAAACAAAATCAAGTGGGTTGTAAGGTCAGGGGTTGCCCTGTTAGTAAAGCACATGAGTCCTGTGACAGCTTTGTTGGATGCCTTCTGTGGTTAGATGCTGTGTTTCATATGTTCCTGATATTCTACTGATTTTTGCTTTGTGATGGGTACATAATATAAATACCTAGTGATTTATGTAAAGAAATATTTGCATTATGGAAGTAAGCCATAAATTAGTAATGCACCAAGATTACTTTTAAATGTCCTGCATTAAGGTAGATATTCAGGTATTGTGATGAGAACATAATGGGCTTGAGATTTTGTTTTTGGTTTGTTCATTTTATTTTATTTTTTAGAAATATTGCAAAGCTACCCATGAGATATAGTAGCTCTTGAGTTCAAATTTTACCAATTCACTGTTCTTTTTTTAAAGTTTTTAGATGTAATGCTTATATATTTTTATAAAAATTATGGCCCTGGCTGGTGTGGCTCAGTGGACTGAGTGCCGGCCTGAGAATCAATGGGTCACCAGTTCAATTCCCAGTCAAGGCACATGCTTGGGTTTGCGGACCAGGTCCCCAGTAGGGGGCGCACAAGAGGCAACCACACATTGATGTGTCTCCCTCTCTTTCTCCCTCTTTCCCCTCTCTGAAATAAATAAACAAACAAACAAACAAACAAATAAATAAATATGTATCTTAATTCTTTTGCATATTTTTCATACTTGCAAAGCAATAAGAAAGTAATATATTTGGAATATGTATAAAATTCACCTTTTTGAACCATACATTGAAATGATATTTACCAAAAACATTTATATTTAGTCATTTCTCTTGAGTATATACTTTAAAACATTTTAGATTTTCTCTCCTGCATCCTTCTGTGACATTTTTATTCATTTGTCCCTCTGCTTATAATTCTCACTTCTGCTGCTTAGTAAAACTAAATCAGAGTTAATTTAAAATTCCTATCTCCTCATGTGAAGCAAAATGGAACAGTTTCTTTATTACAGAAAAATTAATAGTAAAACTATAAAATGGCCAACCGAGATGACCATTTCAGGAATTCCTCATTGTAGTGGAAGGAGAATATCCTTTAAGATCAAGTAAAATTGATTTTTGAATCCTTCTGCCAGGTATCCACAAGCCACTTAATAGTTCTAAACCTCAGTTTGTTCACCTATTCAATTTGCAAAAAATAGCACCTAGCAAAGAAATTAATATGTATCTAAACATATAATGGATATTCAACACATGGTAGATTTTATTTATAGTATTATATCAACATTAATATAGTTTATAGTATAAATAAACATTGGAAATTGCATAATTTTTGTAGTGTTCAAAAACATATTACACAAAAGTTAACCATATATACCCTGCACCATAAAGCTAGTTCACTTAATATTTTTACTTATTTATTTTTTAAGAATTATTAATAGATTAACATGTTGATAGTTTATAATATGGTGTACATTTTGAAATAATTATAAAGTTTACTAATTACATTATGGAATGTAATATTTCTTAGTGCACATTTTAAGAAGAACCATGATACAACATAATAATATTAAGATTATTATAATATATCATTTATACAAAAGTACATATTTTATAATCAGATCCTAAATGCCAACCACTGCTGTTATTTTTACTAATAATATATTTTCTGTTTATAAAAGCAATGCATATTCATGGCATAAAATTTGGTAAGGAAAGAAGTGTAAAGAAGAAAATAACTACCATAAATTAATGACACTGGAAAAATATTTGCAACTTATGACAAAGTGTTGCTATCTCTAGTAGAAAATTGCTCTTATAAATCAATTTACAAAACAAATACCCAATATAAAAATGAGTAAAGGAAATGGATAAGCAATTCTATCAAAGTAATATAGTAACCATAGAAATCCAAATCAAAACAGCAATTACATACTTTTTATTAACTCCTGAGCTACAAAAAACTACAAAAAAGATAATGCAAAGTATTGGTAAGGGTGTGGAGAAACCAAAACTCTTATACATATATTGCAGGATACTTTGAAAATATAAAAAAGTACATCAATTTTCTTTCTAGAATTACATTCTAACAGACCAATAGCACAATTACACATATACAATGATGTGTGTTACAGTATGTTTAAAATAGTGACTATTTCTAGAAATAATCTAAATATCTAACAATATTAAATTAATCACATTATGAAATATTACTAGAACAGACATTGTTAAACCTAAAGGTTTCAAATATATAAATATATTTATTTAACACTACTATAGGCATTTTTCAATGTCATTAACTACCTTCAGTATGCTTCCAGTTTTTCACAATCGTAAAGAAATATATGATGAACATTATTGCACTCAATCTTTGTATATCTCTACGATCATTTTTAGGGTAAATTCACAGAAGTTGATTTACCAGATCCAAGAATAAAACCATTTTTAAGGTTCTTGCTACAGATTGGATGGGTTTTGAGGACAGGAGCAACAATATAATTCTTTTATGAAAGTTCCCAGATATTTATTAATTGCAAGTCCATGACGATGTCTGACCTTATACTTTATTTAGTTTTAATTTTACTATGTCTTTTTCCTCTAATTTGTATAGGCCTTGGTCCTCTGACAAATAATAATATAATTTATCACATGAAAGTCGTTTTACCTAGTTTTTGCGTTAAGAAATTTTCCATAATCATTTTGTTATTCTTCCAGACGTGGGTCGGCAATAAGAGAAGAAAAATGAGCAGTAAAAGTTCTGAATCAGGAACGGCAACAACAGGAACCGTTTCTGGTACCTCGTTGGCAGCTCCAGACATTACAGTAAGAAATGTGGTTAATATTGCTCGACCCTCAAGCCAACAATCTTCTTGGTCATCTGCCAATAATGATGTCATTGTGACTGGAATATACAGTCCAGCCAGTTCATTAAGTAAGCAAGGGACAACCAAACATACAAATACACAAATTACAGAAGCACATAAAATCCCCATCCAGAAAACGGCCAGTAAAAATGATGCTGAGTTTCAGCTGCACATTCCTGTTCAAAGACAAGTAGCACACTGTAAAAATGCCTCTCTGCTCTTAGGTGAAAAAACAATTATTTTGTCAAGACAGACAAGTGTTCTCAATGCTGGAAACTCAGTATACACCAAGAAAAACTATGGAAGCTCTTCGGTGCAAGGCTCTGAGATTTCGGTACCTCAAAAGCCATCCGTGTGCCACCGACCCTGCAAAATTGAACCAGTTGGAATTCAAAGGCCATATAAGCCTGAACACACGGGTCTAGCATCACATAACTTAAGCGGGCAAAAGCCACCTATTAGAGATCCTTACTGTAGAACGCAAAACTTGGAAATCCGTGAAGTATTTTCATTGGCAGTTAGTGATTACCCCCAGAGAATTCTGGGAGGAAATACCCCACAGAAACCCAGTTCCACAGACGGAACTTGTTTGTCCATTGCAATGGAGACTGCAGATGCCGATGATGAGTACGCCCGAGAGGAAGAACTGGCATTAATGGGAGCACAGGTACCAAGCTACTCACGATTTTATGAAGGTTGCAGTTCCCTTCGAGGTGAGAACCAAAGTACAGCTTTGCCAGGACCAGGAAGAAATATGCCAAATTCACAAATGGTGAATATTAGAGACTTCGCAGACAATGGACTGTATCAAAACAGAGACTACCATTTGACACCACGGACCTCATTACATACAGCATCTACTACAATTTACAGTAATACGAATGCATCACGGAGTAATTTTTCTTCACATTTTGCATCATCAAACCAATTGAGGTTATCACAAAACCAAAACAATTATCAGGTAATGTGTAAGTTTATTTTATGAAAGTTTTAAAAAATCATTGCTTGGTATGAAACACTGTGTCGGTATCCAGTTAGATCTAGGGCCTGGGTCACTTAACTCATATTTTGAAGTCATTTGGGATTTTTTTTTTTGCCCCAACATGGTGCTTTGGGGTCAACTCTTTGAAAAATCTTGTGCTTTTTTTGGTCATGTTTAATAATGGTGAGTTTTTCTTCATGAAATATAATCATTTTTATAACATGGTAGCTTTCCCCTTACATTTAAAACAATTTTGATCAGGAAATAGTAGCCTTATGGGAAGCAATACATTTGCTATCGCTAAAGTAGAACTAAATTGGCTAAGTTCATCCCCTTGAACATAGATTATTCCTGTAATGATTTTTATTTGCAGTGTGAAGAGATGTCACTAGATGAGTGCTATTTTCCCTGGGTACATTGCCAGGGAAGTCATTCATTTCTCTAGGTGATGACGGCTGAGAAGTCAGAGCCTACAGTAACTCTGCCAACTCCTTTTTCTAAAACGAAAAGCTTACTATTAAAAAAAAAATGAAAGGAGGTGCTTTATTCAAACATTAAGTAGAACATTAATCAAATAGTCTTTTTAAAAATGTGTATAAGAAAGAGACATTCAGAGTAAAAAGGAAAGCAATTTTAGACCTGCGCAAAAAATGCGTCATTTCTTTACTGTTAACATATTCAGTTATGTAGATATGCTTCAAATATTCTCCAGAGTGAGGTATAAGCCTGCCTTAAGACATCTCCTAAGGTCATAGATCTTCTCTGAAAAATCTGCTTCAGAGAATTCGAGTAGCAGAGCATGGATATTCATCATTTTTCTAGCTAGACTCTTTAATTTGTTCAAACAGTATTTAAGTTTTGTATGGATTTCAGATGCTTTCAGGCTATTCTCAATTAATATGAGGAATAAACTTGCCATAACTCTCTCCATCTTATAGCCCCTTACTTCAAAATGATAAGCAACAGCAGAGTGTGGGAAGTGTCCCTCTGGAATTTAGCCCCAACAGAAATAATAAAGCCTCATCATTAGTAGTCATTTCTTATTGATAGTCTAATGATTTTTCTGTATTTGCTCTTTCCTAAAGCAGGCTTAAACTAACATGGAATCATACCATAAATATCCTCCCAACACCCCCTTTCATTCCATAGTCATTTGTACTTTTTACACCTTCAGTGTTGTTTTTAATAATAGTAAGAACAGTAACATTTAGCATTTGTTGAAGGTTTTACACATACCAGGCACCATCAGTCACTGTATATACCCAATCTCACTTAATCTCCAGGGCGATCTAGACATACAGACATTTAGTCCATATTTCAATAACTTGTTCAGAAAGATCACATAGCCAGCTCATGACAGAACCAAGATGCAACCGAGGAAGGTCAACTGCATTAAAGCATTTGGAGGTCTGAGAGTATGACATTTAAGTTTTAATTTTTCATAAGCCGACTGCTCCTCTAAGGATCATTTAACCTAAATTTATGCCTTTTTAGAGTCTCTATTTTTTCCTGACAGAACTTTGAAAGGGACTCAAATTGTATTATATAAAAGAACTTTTTTTAATGGAATAAAACTTAGCAAGGTTTTTTTTCGAATAGTGATCTTTTTAAAGAAAGGAAGTTTGATGTAACAATTTAGAGCGTAGGCTTAAATCTAGACTCTGCCACTTTCTACTTGTGTGATTTTGGGCAAGTGATGTAACCCCTCTGTGTGACAGTTTTCTCATTGGCATGACATGCTTTTCAGAAATGCTGTACAATACAATTGCATTTATCAATCCGTGTGAGGCTCCTTGTATGTTCCCTGCTATATAAATTTTCTTGTACTTACAATCTAATACTTACAAAACTAGTGAAATTCAGCTAGTCTAGGTCTTCTTTACATTCCATTTCAAGTAAAATATCTCAGGACCCACAATAGCAAAAGGTTGTTGAGGAAAAAAATAGCTGTAGTGCTGGCTGAGAGAAGACTAGAGATCGGCTATCAACTTCATTTATATTATATACCAGACCTCCTCCAACTTCACTTGAGACAGTATGGTAGAGGGTGTTTGCAGAGAACCCTTGGGGCATCATTTTCCCCTTCTTTTTTTTAATTAGTTAATCTTTGAAGATACCAACTCAGCTTGGAGAAGTGTACCTCATGAGGATTAGCATCTTAGTCTATTTGGGTTGCTATAACAAAAATACCATAGACTGAGTGGCTTAAACAATAAACATTTATTTCTCACAGTTCTGGAGGATGAGAAGCTCATGATCAAAGTGCTGGTAGATTCTGTATCTGGTGAGATCCTGCTTCCCAATGCATAGAAGGCCATCTTCTCACTGTGTTCTCATATGGCAGGAGTACAGGGTCTCTTGCAATGACACTAATCCCATTCATGAAGGCTCCGTTCTTAGGACATAACCACCTCCTAAAAATCCATCCTCAAAATACCATCACATTAGGGATTAGGTTTCAACATGTGAATATGGCTGGGGCACAAGCATTCAGTTTATGTTAGTTATCCTCCAAGATTTTAATGAAGCTCATTAACAAGCTGTATTACTGTAACATCAGGACTTAGAAAAATGGGACCTATGGTCCTTTTGGGAGCTTTCTAGCTCTGAAACTATAAGCAAACAATTCTATTTAGTTTCTAACCCTGGGACTACTTAACAGAGATATCTGCCTCTTCTTTCTGTTACATGTGGCATCTTCAAACTATTGCTGAAGGGTCGTCTAGTTTCAAGTTATCTAAGTGAATGAGTACAAATTGAGGGAATCCTAAGGGATGCTAAAAAGTTGAAATCACCTCTGTTTGGCAGCCACTTGGGAATATCACAATAAGGGTTAAGGGGCAGTAATGTTAATGAAACGGTCAGGAGGTAACTATACCAAGATACCATAGCCCAGTTCTATTTCAAAAACTCTCCAGGCTAACCTCACTCCTTTGAGGGCAAATTGCAACCGTATTGGTCTCCAGAGTGCAAAGTGCTGTTCACTCTTCATATCATCACTGTCAGTGCATTATTTATCATAAGTGTTGTGATGATTAAAGATAATAATTGATAATCATCTATGTGAAGATATAGGAACATTTTAAAGATACGTGCTACGAGATTTTTTTGGTGCAGTTATTATGTGGCTTAAAAATTAATTGCATTCCCATCATTCAAGAACTTCATAAAGATTTAGGAGTTAATAAAAGTAGAGCACTTTGAGCTTCCTTTAAAAGATACTTTAAAACTTCAATGTATGTATCTCTATTAGTGAAAGTGCTTTGGTAGTGCCTTCCAACTTCCATCAGTATCTGTGGGCTTTGGTACATTTTTAAAAATAAACGTGAAAGCTTAATTTTTGTAGAAACTTTAAACATCATGGCATTCTAAACCAATACAAATGATATTTTTATCTGAGGAAAGTGAGGGTCAGTAACACTCAATAACTCTTAGGCAAATATTCAACTTCAAAAAAGTAGCAGTAATCTGTGTTGAGTGGCTTTGTTTAGCAGGGATAATTTTTACACAACTTTATTGAGATATAATTCACATAGTGTAGAATTCACCTATTAGAAATGTATAATTAAGTAGTTTAAAAAATATTTTTATATATATCCACAGAGCCATGAAACAGCACCTCAATTTAATTTTAGGACAATCACCTCAAAAATGAACTACATACCCAATAGCACAGCAAATTCCCCATCCCAGCACTAGACAACCACGATTATGTTTTCTATTTCTGTGGAGTCACCTATTTTAGATATTATTATAAATGGAATTGTATAGTATGTGACTTTTTGTAACCAGCTTATTTCAGTTAGTGTAATATTTCCAAGATTTGTCCAGGATGTAGTAAGTGTCAACATTTCATTTCGTTGCTCTTTGATGTTACTTTTTCTGTATATATTGTATTTTGTGGTGTATAATGTGTTCTTTTTGTCCAAATTTTTGAGGGAAAATAAAGGATGCACATTATACATGGGTATAATGATTACATAGCGTGGATATAATAATCCTGTGTATAATGTGCACAAAAACCATGGGTGCGCATTATACATGAGAAAATACGGTAGCTCTTCTTAGTTGCTGGACATCTGAGTTGTTTCTACATTTGTCTATTGTGAATAATGCTATGAACATTCATATGCAAATTTGCGTATGGACATATGTTCTCAAATCTTTGGGGGTCTATATCCAGGAATGGATTTCTAGTTCACATTGTAAGTCTATGCTTAACATTTTTTGTTGTTGTTCAAATGCAGTTGTCTCCATTTTCCCCCCATAACATTTTGAGCAACTGCCAGAATTTTTTCTAAAGTGCCTGTACCACTTTACACTCCCACCTCAATGTATAAGGGATCCAGTTCCTCCACATCCTTACCAACACTGGTTATGTCAGTCATTTTGATTATAGATTTTATCATGGGTGTGAAATGTCCCACTGAGGATTTGATTTACATTCCCCTGATAGATAACAATGTTAACCCTCTTTTCATGTGCTTATTAGCCATGTAAATATCTTATTCGGAGAAGTGTTTATTCACATAATTTGTCCATTTTTAAAATTGGTTATTTTTTTCCTTTCTGAGTTGTACATTTCAATTCTCTATACTAGTCCTTATTATATATATGATTTCCGAATATTGTCTCCCATTTCATATGCTGTATTTTCACTTTCTTGAGGTTACTGTTTATACAAAAACGTTTTTAATTTTTATTAAGTATAGTTTACCTATTTTTTTCTATTGTCACATGCCTTTGGTGTTGTATCTAAGACAAAGTAGTGAAGACTGACTTTTATGTCTCCTTCTAAGACATAAAATTCTTATATAAATATATATAAGAATAAATATATATCTAAAATATAAGAATTTTATACTTGTATATCTTACATACAGGCTTTTCATCTGTTTTAAGATATTTTTGGTGTGCGGTGTGAGGTAGGCATTCACCTTGACTATTTTGTACATGCATATTCAGTTGTCACAACACCA